GAGAGAGAGAAACAGACATACATTTATAAGTACATAAATATGGACATAGAATAATGTAGATTTTGGTGTCAGATAAATACAGAGTCAGAATAATGCAGATTATGGAGCCAGATAAGAATACAGAGTCAGAATAAAACAAACTTTGGAGTCAGATAAGGATACAGAAACAGAATAAAACAGATCTTGGAGCTAGATAAAAATACATAACTAAAATAAAACAGATTTTGGAGCCAGAAAATACAGAAATAGAATAAAACAGATTTTGGAGCTAGATAAAAATACAGAAATAGAATAAAACCGATTTTGAAGCCAGATAAAAAAATACAGAGACAGAATAAAACAGATTTTGGAGCAAGAAAATACAGAAACAGAAGAAAGCAGAATATGAAACCAGATAAGAATAAAGAGACAGAACAACAAAGATTTTGGAGTCAGGCAAAAATTCAGAGAGAGAATAAAACAGATTTCGAAGCCAGATAAAAATACAGAGACAGAACAAACCCGATTTCGAAGCCAGATAAAAATCCAGAAACAAAGCAAACCCGATTTTGTAGCCAGAGATGAATGCACAAACAGAGTGAGATAGAATTTCGCAGGCAGATCCATTCACAAAGTTAAAACAAAAACGTTTATCACCAACAAACTTCTAAACACAGAAAGAGACATATAAAACTGTCATATATATATATATAACCAAACGGAAGAACAAAATGAAACAGAGAGCGCCCGCGCGCGCGAGAGAGAGAGAGAGAGAGAGAGAGAGAGAGAGTAAGACACAGACACAGATGGATGGACATAAAAAGAAAAAGACAGAAAAACCTAGAAGCAGAAAGGGCGAGGGAGAATCCAGCGAAGAACGACGCAGAGAGAAAGAAAGAGACAGAGAGAGAGAGAAAGAGAGAGAGAGAGAGAAAGGGAAGCGAAGTCGGAAAAAAGGGTTGCTAGAGCGCGCGGCCGAAGAAAACCGTCGGAAGGAGCGAGACAGGTAGAGAGAAGTATTCAGGGGTAAGAGAGTATGAGAGGGAGAGAGAGAGAGAGAGAAAGAGAAAGAGAGAGAGCGAAAGAGAGCGAGAGAGAGCTTGGTATATACCGAAGAAACGGGTGGTCGTTCGGTCGTACGTGAAGGGTCGGCGTTAGGCAGTTGGAACCTGGAATAGCGAAGAAAAGGATAGACGGAGATCGCGCGCACCCGCAAGAGAGAGAGAGAGAGAGAGAGAGAGAGAGAGTGCGCGCGAGCGAGCGAGAGAGAGAAAAAGAAATGAAGCGTGGTAGGGTAGAGAGTAGTAAGGGCGAAACGATGACGCGGAGCGGGGAGCTGTGGGGAGGGTGTCGGTGCAGAGAGAGAGAGAGAGAGAGAGCGAGAGAGAGAGAGAGAGAGCAAGCAACCGAAAGCGAGAGAGCGCAAGCAAGTAAAAGCGAGAGAGCGCAAGCAAGTAAAAGCGAGAGAGAGCAAGCGAAAGGGAGAAAGAGACAGAGAGCGAGAGAGAGCGGGAGAGAGCAGGAGAGAGCGAGAGAGAGCGGGAGAGAGCAGGAGAGAGCGAGAGAGAGAAAGCAAGCGAGAGCGACAGAGAGCAAGCGAAAGCAAGCGAAAGAGAGCGAGAGAGAGCGGGAGAGAGCGAGAGAGAGCAAGCGAGAGAGAGCGAGAGAGAGCGCGAGAGAGAAAGCCAGCGAGAGCGAGAGAGCGCAAGCGAAAGCAAGCGCGCGCGAGAGAGAGAGAGAGAGCGCGCGCGAGGGCGAGAGAGCGCGCGAGAGAAGGCAGGCGATAAAAAGGGAGAGAGAGGGTCAGACCGGGGGTTGGTGTGCCTAGGGTCGCGCGAGAAGAGCCCGAGGAGTGGGGGGAGATTCCCTAGTAGAAACCAGTCGAGTCCCGGCCTCAGGTCGCGACGGGTATTCAGTTCAGAGGCGAGAGCCGAGCCGTGCGGTTCTCCTGCATGCTTCTCTCGGGCTCCGGTATCACGCTCTCCGCCGAGGCAAACCGGTCGTCGTTACAGTGCGGTCGCGCCGAGTGCTCCGAAACCCGCCGCTACTCCTCCCCGCTCCGAAATCCCCGGAAACCTCGGCCGTCCGCGCGATCCCGATCGCGAGTGCGTGCCGCGATAACGGACCGGTGACAAGCGTCGCGATCC